CACTATTATCCCTTTGCTATACAACCAGATTATCTGGATAAATTGCACTGCAATCAATGATTCCAGATGACACCAGTAAGCACAGTGCAGGAGTCCTCAAGAGCAAGGGCCAGTTTGTGAAAAAATGCCTACCACCTGCCACTTTCAAACTGCTGTAGTTACTACTGTCCACATAAATGTATTTAAAGCTGGTTTGGTAAGTCTACAATGCATATTTGAGAACACTGTACACATCTTAAGTCCTTCTGACTGTAGCATATCCCATTTCATGGTACATCTCCATGCTCAGAACAAGACAATATTTTACTTCTTTCCTATTTTTTTACATTCATGGCCAGTACTCTCTGTGCTTGGAGACTGATTCAGTTATTTCTTACTACACTGATTTCTTGTCTTCATTGCAAATTGAATCCATCAAATTCAGATTTCATTAGCTACTTTTGCAACATTAAGACAAAACTACAGAAAATACTCTTTTCCAACAATGACAGCTGATAAATCATTAAGGGCTGCACAAAACAACATCAACTCAGCCTTCTATATGCTTTTAATTATTGTTAGCCCAATATTGCACAATGGTGCAATGATGGCATTTCCCCAACAGTTGCACTTGCTGATTCTTAGAATTTATGACCAAAGCCAAAACAGGAAGACATCCCAGCTTAAACAGAATATTCCTCTTTACTGACATTAAACAATTATCTCCATGATGCTTAAGGCAAGTCAGTTCCTGATGCATCTTTCTTTTTAAGCTTCTTAACAAACCTAAACGCGATACTTCTTCCATTTTTTTGTAATCCAACAGCATAATGACCAGAAGCAGTTAAGCCATAGAAGCCTAATGGCTTCCTACACAAAATAAGCTTTCCATGTCATGAATCATAATTGTAGAGTTTTGCACAGGTGACCTAAACCAGGACTCTCCTTCCTCAGGATTCTGTGCTTTGAAACAAGTCTTCAAATTCAGCCTCTTCACTTATTCTGTAGTTAACACACCTCCTCCATGACCTAAAGTAGAGCAATATTTATAGCTGCAAAAACTGTATTTCTCCTTCTCATGGTAGCAATGCAGTTCCAGCTTCACTGTAAGCACTTCATACCATAACAGAGTGCCTGAACAGTTTGAAAGCATGTATAGAAAGATTTAAATTGGTCATGAGCAAGTTAAAACAAGAATTTGGCCCACTGCTGGCAGTCATGCTTATGAGATTATCATGTATTGCCTCAAGTAGGTATATGGCACTTTTTCAAGACATAGGGCAAGAAAAAAACCAGAGAATAGTGCTTCTATAATGTGAAATTTCTGGTCAAAGAGCAAGTGATTCTCCACTACCCACTGCACAGAACAATTAAATCTCTCAGCAGCATTTACAAGAATATTTGCTATGGTTCACTGCTTTCTGTTGTCATAAATGTTCCATTTCTGTAACCAGACATACCAAATATCTAATTCTGTCACCTTATTTACAATTCCAACTTGCCCGCACTTTGAATATTGACTAATCTGGTTAATGAGATTAGTTTCATCTTGTTTTTAAAAAGAAGTGGCATGATTATTCACGTGCCTATAAACCCTGAATTTTCCTTGAACTCTCTCTACAGAACTCCCATAGAAGTTAATATGGAAAAACAAGAAAAGACTTCAAATTGGCCAACGACCACACTGTGAATCATACACTGCCTAGAAGAGCAAAACTCAGCTGCCCTTGGCAGACTGATACCACTGCAGTTATGGGATTCAAATGAGGATGTGGGATCCTCTTGGCTTGGGATTTCCAAGCTTATCTTACCAATCTGGACTTTGAATATTGCCAAGCCTGAAATGAGATCAGTCCATACCTATCTTCTCATCTGTCATGTCTTTAAATTCAATCAGCGTAGACAGTAGGCACATTTATTTCAGCAATAAACCCTCAACTATTCAGAAGGGTTTTTCTCTTTATAGAAATTACCTCAGTCAGAATATGCAGCTGTCTTACTATGAATACAAATTTACAGCCATCATAATCAACTTTAAAAAAATCCCCCAAAAATAATCAAACAAATTGTAAATCCCCAAAACTTTTTTTCCGTGTGAGTTGCCCAGGGACATAAAGGAATAACTACCACTGTGTCACAGAGATCTTAGACACACAGTAATTTTTAATTTTTTTTTCAAACAGACATAAATATTTAGTGTGCCCCTCTAGGACCAGAGCTAATTACTTTCAGACACTATTACTAATAAGATAAAATGCTGATTAATGTTTAAAAGAATCTAAAATGAGAGGAACAATGAAAATGAAAAGGCTTTGAGACTGGAAAGTTATGTGTTATGGCTGAGTCAGTCTAACAACCTGCTGATGTCAATAGTCAGTGCATCCTGTTCTCCTCCACCACCTGGCAGAGACTCTGGTGCTTGTCAGATCCTGCACCCAGTTAATACAGCTTGCTAACACAGCAGAACACTAATCCAGCAAAAATAAAACTAGATCAAATATCTTTCTGATGACCTAATTGTGGCCTTCTAGTACCTGAAGGGAGTCTACAACCCAGAAGGAGAGAGACTATTTACAAGAGCATGTAGTGGCGGGACACGGGAAATGGCTTTACACTAAAAGAGGGCAGGTTTAGATTGGATATTATGAAAAAATTCTTTACAATGAGGGTGGTGAGGCACTGGAATAGGTTGCCAAGAGAGGTTATAGATGGATGTCCCATCCCTGGAAGTGTTTAAGGCCAAGTTGGATGGAGCTCTGAGCAACCTGGTCTAGTAGGTGTCCCTACCCATGGCAGAGGGGCTGGAACTAGATGATCTTTCAGGGCCATTCTATGATTAATAACTTTTTTCAGAGCAGTATGGGTTCCAAGAAGTTCCAGGACCAATTCATGTGTATGGGGAAGGCTAGTAAGGTTAGGACAGGGCTGAGATGGACCTGCCTGTTTCAGCAGCAAACTGATGGCCTAGCATAGGTTCAATATATATTTTCATGCCAACTGTCTTTATCTTAGGCTGGAACACTTTAAGAAGTTACTGCCTCCTCAGCTAAGGGCACTATGGGCAGCCCTGCTCCATTTCACTGCACATAAAACTGGTAGTTTAAACCCCTCGCAGACAGATCCACCAGTCTCCTGGAAATGCATTTTAGCCAGAGGACACTAACCTGCAGGGAGAAGGTAATGCTGGAAGGGGAAAGCTGGAAGTAATAACTTCTTAAAGAGTGACAACTAGACCTGCAAAACCCGTTTGTTACATTTCTATTTGATGTGAATGCAAAGCTAACACAGGATAAGCATGCAAGTCATGTTCAGAGGGCTTCTTAGCCTCCACCTCTTTACTCTGGGAAGGGGAAAGCATACAAAAAGAAATACATATTTTAATTGCACAGTAGGTAAAAACACACAAATTCATTTTCCAAGGTTGAACAGCTGGACCCAGAGGGCAGTGAACACTGACACAGAGTCTAGTTGAAGGCCATTAAATAGTTCTGTACCCCAAAGGTCAGTGCTGGGTCCAGTCTTGTTCAACATCTTCACTGATGACCTGGATGATGGAACAGAGTGTACCCCCAGCAAGTTTGCTGATGACACCAAACTAGAAGGAGTGATAAATCACCTCCACCAGAGGCTCATGCTGCATCCAGAGTTACACACAATGCCTGAAGGGAGGGTGCAGAAAGGACAAAGACAGGCTACTGCCAGCAGTGCACAGTGACAGGACCAGAGGCAGTGGGCACAAATTGAATCTGAACACCAGGAAATGATGGTGGGGTTTTTGTCATGAGGATGACTGTACACTAGCACAGGTTGCCCAGCAAGGCTGTGAAGACTCCATCCATGGAGATAATCCACAGCCAGCTGGTCCTGGCCAACCAGCTCTAGGTGGCTCTGCTTGAGCAGGGGACTTGGACCAGATAGCCTCCAGAGGACCCTTCCAACCCTAGCCAGTCTGTGCTCTTGGTCTGAATCCCTGACTGTGTCTAAGCTACATTCAGAGAACAGCAGCTACAACAGATTGCTATGGTCGTGTGCCATGGTAAGCGAGCTCGATTCTGTTGTAAGAACAAGATCTGGCAGAGAAACATGTTTAGCAAGCCTTAGCTCTCCTGTACTCCCTTCTTTCACCACAGGTAAGATAGCCAACACAAGAGGTTCCAGGGTTGCCTCCATTAAGTTTTATTTGCTAAATGGCTTCCCAAGGTGCACAGCATGCTTCACTGCCTACCACAGCCATTTAATCCCCTTCAGCACTGGGACAAATAAGGAAAGTAGCCTCAGTTAGGTGGAAAATCTTGCCCCCAGCACTAAGGATATGACAGGGCACTCTGGGGGCAGGTGACCTTGATGAAACCGAGTCTGGAGCTCATTTGAAAAAATGTTGGTCTGAGGATTTGCATAGTTTACACTAATGGCTTCTCATGTAACTGATTTTACACAAAAAATAGTAACAGGGATGAGTTGCTTGCGCAGTCAAAAATAAACTGCTTCCAGCTGCATTTCAATCACTAGGTTGCGTGATCCACTCTAATGGATCTCATCTCGACTGAACTTGGTCTGCCATGCCCAGCTCCTATCAAATGCTCTTTCTTCTGTTTGAATCCAGTTAATTCCCAGATGTGAATGTAACAGCCTTCACAGTAAACGCAGCTACAAGCAACTACGGTTCTAAGTTTTTCTACCTTTTTCACACTTTGGGCTAGCAGTGATCTTTCATCTCTCTGGAGAGAGAAAGAAATCAGCTTTGATGGCCAGCTGTAAATGCTGGTTTATGTTGTTTCTGCCATCCTGGATATGTACTACTGCTCTGACTGAGAACCAGTTCACAGTGACTACCAGATAAGTTATCTACACCTCTGTCAACCTGCATTTTAAATAAGAGAAATGGCAGCTCACGTTCATTGCCACCAATTACCATTGCCCCCACCTGCTCTTGACAGTATGATATACAGTAGGAAAAAAAGCCAATATTATACAACAAAAAGAAACAAAGGCATTCTATAGTATAAATCTGTGTCTCCTACCTCTGCTCGACCTTCATAATATGTTAGCATAGACTTTGTAAGTACAAAAAGCCTCTCTTTGTAGTTTAAGGGAGAAGTCCTCTTCTTCTGCTGTGATCTTTTAATCAAAATCTCTTGTAGGATAGTAGTCGTATTCATTTCAGCCACTTGTCAGCTCGTTCTAGCCATTGAACATCAGTTCCTGTGAAAATGAGAGGAATAAATCATTATGATATCTTTGGAGGATCAGAGAGTCAGAGATTTCTGTAGTAAAAAGAGCTACTACTTATAAATGAAACTACCTGAATATACAGAAAGCATCTGGAAGTTTACAGAAGTTAATTATTAGATGAGAAAGCCCAGGCTTTGCTCAGCTGAGAACTGCACTGGCGTGTTCCCAGGAAGCCAAAAGCTGTACGTGACTGGGATGAAATAAGGTACACTGCAGCCTGTGTCATAGAAAATATGGGTGAGAACTCTGAAATGTGCTCCAGGCAAACAGCAGTGTACAACTGCTCTTCACCACAAAGCCCTAACCTCTGCAGAAGTTTTAGTTGCTAAGGTCTGTGCATATGTAAATGCCATTTGCAAACAAAAAGAAGTTCTATATACAAAATTGAAGATCACAGAATCATAGAATATTTTGAAATGGAAGAAACTCGCAAGGATCATCAAAGTCCAACTCCTGGCCCACAGGACAGCCCCAAGAATCATACCACATGCCTGAGAGCATTCCAAACACTTCTGGAACTCAGCAAGGCTTGGTGCTGCCACCACGTTCCTGGGAAGCCTGTTCCAGTGCCCAACCACCCTCTGAGTGAAGAACTTCTCCTAATATCTAACCTAAGTCTCCGCTGACACAGCTTCATGCCATTCCCTCGGCTCCTGTCACTGGTTGCGAGTGAGAAGAGATCAGTGCTGCTCCTCCACTTCCCCTTCAAGAGGAAGTTGTATACAGCGATGATGTCTCCCCTCAGTTTCCTCTTCTCCAGGCTGAACAAACTAAGTGATCTCAGCCACTCCTCATATGGCTTCCCCTCTAGATGTTTTATCATAGTCATAGTCCTCCGTTGGACACTCTATAATAGCTTTATATTCTTCTCACTTTGTGGCACCCAAAACTGCACACAGGACTCAAGGTGAGGCGGCACCAGCGCAGAGTAGAGTGGGACAATCACCTCCCTCAACCGACAGCAAGACTTTGTCTGATGCACCCCAGGACACAGTTGGCTCTCCTGGCTGCCAGGGCACACTATTGACTCATATTCAACTTGCCACCAACTGGAACTCCCAGGTCGCTTTCCATGGCACTGCTCTCCAGCATCTCATTCCCCAGTCTGTAGGTACAGCCAGGGTTGCCCCATCCCAGGTGCAGAATCCAGCACTTGTCTTTGTTAAAATTCATACAGTTGGTGATTGCCCAGCCCTCTAATTTGTCAAGGTCTCTCTACAGAGCCCCTCTGCCTTTGAAGGAGTCAACAGCTCCTCCCAATTTTGTATCATCAGCAAGCTTATTTATTATAGCTTCAGATCCTGCATCAAAGTCATTTATGAAGAGGTTGAAGAGCACTGGGCCTAAAGTGGAGCCCTGCAGAAACCACTAGTGACTGGTCACCAGCCTGGTGTAATTCCATTTACTACAACCCTTTGTGCCCGAGATGGATCAGTAAAGGTGATTTTTAAAATTCATCCCAATTACATTAATGAATATTTTCAGACACAAATGTGTTTTAGAAGATGTCAATTTGAGAACAAAGAAATCAAGCTTGTTTTTCAGAAAATGCTAAGTATACGCCCTCAATCTTCTGTTTAGAAAGGCTTCATGCTGACCACCAAAATTTAGTCATTTACTTCAGGTTGTTTTGGCTGCTCAGTAGTGTCAAGCTGCTATAAAGTTCTATACCATGACTGACACCTGTGGGAGTACATAACAACAAACACACCCACAGTTACTTTGTTTGCAAATCTGGTTCCTGCCAGAGACATTGTCAGGCAATCTCTCTGTTCTTTGCAATGATGCCAGCTTAAACACAGCTGGCCTCCTCCCTCAGCTGCTCGCCACCGCCCTGTCGTGCCACTCTGCCTTGCTGGGTGCAAGTGTTCCTCGTTCTTCATGCTGGGCTGGGAACCAGGCTAGGGCAGGGATCCAACCAGGCATTTCATCACCCAGCACAGACAGCTGCCTGCATGGACTCATCGACTGAGGTGGCACAGAGGTGGGAATGAAAGGTGTGGGAGAGGCTGGGGAGAAGCTGTTCAGAAATCTTTTTCCCTTTCTCTTCGTTCGCTTTCTGCCAGCCCAGCCCATAGCACCAGCTGCACCTGCCTCGAGCTGTGCTCTGAAGGCAGAGCATGTTGCAGGCACAGGCCTTGACCACAGCTCAGGCTGGAGAAGATGACTGGAAGCTGAAGCCATGGCTTGAAGAAGAAAGAGCAGCATCTGCTGAAGCACAAGTGACTATGAGTAACTTCTCAAGTTTGTGTGATTGTGGAGGGTACAAAGGGGAAACCCAAACTAAAGCCCTAAAATAAAAATAAATTAATATAAATAAATAAAAATTCATTTCTCACAGGGCTTAATTTATGCGCCTACTTACTATTTAAGAGTATTTCAAAATTCACCTGGGAAACACGTGCACATTTTTCTCTGCAGGCAACATAATTTCAGCATGGACAAAACAGTGCATTTCATAGAATCCTGCAGAGAACCTTGAAAAGCCACAGGCCTCCTCACAACATTGCCTTACACAATTTAAGTTTAAATAAAATTAAATGTAAACAAACTCACTTTAGTGTCTCTCCTTTTTACTTTGTGCCTGAACATGTCATTAATTGCCGTGACAGTACATGAAATGACACCCTTTGCCTTCCAGTCTAGTCCTGAATCCCCATTTCACTCCTTGATTTGACTAGGTAAACTCTCATATCCCATACTCCTGCCATTTCAACAGCTGGAGGTAGCTGTTCTCTGCTTTAAAATATCCTCTCCTTTTCAAGGAATAGCTCTGCATATGCTAAATAAATACTCTGTGGTTTATATGGAACTACAAAATAAGACCAAGTTAGGATGCACAAGTAAAATACTAATTGAACTGGAAATGGTGATTATTAGGAATAATCTCTTTTGTTATTTTGCTTTTTTGGATATGCAGACAAGCATATATTTTGTTGGTCATCTGTCATATTGCATTCCTGAGAAGAAGGTAGATCTTTTTCAATTAGTAATTGTCTTGAATACATTCCTTAATTACTAAAGCTGCCCAATTCTGATTTATTTCCCTTCTACAAATAAATTGGAAATCTTAAAAGTAATTGTGTAAGGAAGAATACCACCCGACTGAATATACATTGTTAGTATTAACTTTCAGACCAGCTTAATGCACACAAAATTGTAAGGGTTCCCATCACAGGCTCTCCCACTCAAAATAATCCTTCTGTTCTCAATAGTACAAATTCTTTGTTGGTACTTGAGAAAAATATAATTAGAAACTTATAAACTGTAATCTCAGAGATCCCTAGAGTGCTGCACTAGAGAGCTCAAGAAGGATTCTAAATTAACTATGATTTCAATATTGATAATGCTAAACATTTCATTTCTCTACCAGCTCTCTTTGGTCACATAAACATTATGCAAGAATCAAAAAAATCCTTTTGATAAAGTTGGGGCTAAAAAATATAATCGTCAGTGATGTAATTGGTCGATGTGTGCACCTGGTTGCTACACTGAATTATCTCTGCTATGGGGATCTCAGCAGAACCTGTTTTCCAGGTCACAAGATCAGCCTTTGAATCTGCATTTGGTCACAGAAACCTGTTTTGTTCCGTGTTAATTCCAAGTCAATTGCTTTAGAAACATTTCTGTTTCGATAAATAAGGCTCAGGACAGCTGAAACCTCACCTATTATTCTGAAAGTTCTTTTCCAAAATGACAACACTGCATTTAGCAGCCCCTGTAACAGCCACCCTTACCCTTATCAAACCTGTCTGGCACGACTTTTCTTCAGTATCCTTTGAGACATTTTCTGCACATTTCACCTCCAAATACTCCATTGTTCCCAGACCATCCCTCAAAACATGAAGCTGTTTGCATGACACATTGTTATCTTGTTATAAACAGCTGTGGGAGTTTCATGTTGACACCCATACAAACTTTTCATGGTGTGACTCCTGCCAAGGATTTGTCCTGTCCCCTGCCAACCTTAGTGAAATGGTAACAAATATAATCTAATTTGCAGAGATGCTGAAGACTCAGAATTATGACTGAAAGCAGAAAGAGTTACAGATTCTCAGCTTTTTTTAGAGCAGGAAAACACTCTCAACTTTAGGTATCAAAAAAATCTGCATCAACGTGCACTATCCATCTTCACATTACACAAATATTCACCTGTATGGCCAGGAAGTCATCACCCACCTTCCTCAAAACAAACAAAAACAACTGTTCAGATAAGTCTGCTAAGTGAATTTTGTTCAAGATGCACAAAGTACATTTTCACTTGTAGACATGCCACTTTCCCAGTTTTCACTGGGGAAAGCTGAGGCACTAAGTGATGTGGTAAGCTCAACGGTTGCAACACTACTCATTTATCTTCTGGTTCCCACTCCCAGCTCCTGGATTGTGTTTGTTTATTGAAACAATTAGGCACCATAAGCCAATCAGTCAGTAAGCACCTGTAACTTTCAAAGAGTTGAATAAATGTATGAAAGTCCCAGTGGCAGTTCCAGTAAGCAGAAAAGAGCAAGTGCATCCCAATCTGACCAGGGCTTCTCTGAACCAAATGTAATATGTAATTGTCACTTTTTATGGCACAAAGCTTTGCATCACACATAGCCATGGAGGGGTTCACAAGAAAAAAGTCATCCCAAAAACCACACTTATTGCAACAATCATAAAACAAACACCAACAGGAAATATTTGTTTGTGGCTGGAAAAAAAAATAAAATCAAGGTGGAAGAATTTTCTTAGTTTCAACACCTCCTTAGTGATGTTAACACGTCCCTAGGAATTTGGGTTCTTCAGTGCAAAGTCCTAGTGCTAAACTGATGGGCATTCAAGGCAGATAATCCCTCTACCAAAGCAACATCCTCAGTTTTCTGACTTCAGTCTCCTGCATCCTGCACAACTGTTCTTTTTCATATTTGGGACATATCAATCCAAACCG